ATATAGGTACTGTATCAATATTTTTGTTTTCCTTCTTATGATCCATATTCCTTCTGTTTTAATATCTTCAACAGGCATTTAAATTACAAATTAAGAACCAACCTTGTTTAGGCAAAAATAATAGCCTATATATTGGATTGAGAAATGAAACTATTCTAAACTAACCTATTAGAACTAACCAATCTTGCTGTAGGCTAAGTTACTGTTTCAAAATTCCATTTGATAACAGAAAAGGCATACGGGGAATAGGCTATCAAACGGAATTTTGAAATGTTAACTTAGGTACTGCAAGTTTAGTTGGTTAGGTTAGTTTAGAACAGTTTCATTTCAATATTATATTATTTTTAAATTGTTTGTTGATACTGAACAATATATATTTATTGTCATCATATTTGTTAATCAATATATCGGATGAAAAATTAAACATCGATATATCGAAAAGAAATCATCGATAATAATGAATGGTCCCTTTAACAGGAAAGTACCCATTGAAATTTACTATATATAACAATAATAAATTATGACAATAGGTAACAATATAATAAACTGTGACAAAAGCTAACATAACATAAAATACCCCCGCCGCAGCAAACCTGCCGACTAAGCGAATTTCCATTTGTCTGAATAGATTTTTAACCAAACCTATTTAAATAACATTAGGTTTAATGAGTACCTAGGTTTGCTGCCAAAAGGAAACTAATAAAGTGATTTTTTTTTAAATATTAATAACTTAGTATAAAATAAATAAATTTGCCAAGTCTGATCAAAATATATCCATAAACAAGCAAACTACAACATTTTACAATATTCTCCATAAGAATAGCATGGGAATTTTAAATTTCGTACAAAAACAATTTGATATACTAAATTATTTGTTATTTTAAGCTCTTTAAAAAGGTTTAGAGAGAAATTAGAAAATTTTGTGTTTTGAGGGCTAATAATTAGAAAAACCATTTTTTACACCATAAAACCCCCCGTAAAACCCCGTTCCCATGGTCCGATCATGCTGGTTCGCGAACTCATTCAAGTTTATCCCGCCTTACACCTTTAAACCAAATTTCATCAAAATCGGACAAAAATTACTCAAGTTATCGCGTTCACGGATGTATATATATATGTATATTATACATATATAAAAATTTGAACGAGTGGTGTTTTTGGCCTCTGGGGACATCAAAATAAAAAAGTAAATCAGTCCCGGGCCTAGGTCTTACCGTGCCACCTACGGTAATAGCTACTTCCCTTATAGGGAAATTCGCTAAAAGCAAACAAAAAAGCATGGCTCTCGAAAATATGGCACTTTACACTGTTGAGCGGGTCCTTTAAAGGCACCTCTAAGGAACCACGAGACCAAGATAAGAGAATAATGTTTGTTGTTAAATCCCAGTTACTATAAAGGAGGAAGGTTGTGAATAGCTTTGTGAAATTATGAACAGTCGAACTATTGAGTATTGGATACTAATAGTCAAAGGTTAAACAGTTAAATCATTGACTAAGGAAATAAAAGTTTGTTTCCCTTGTCTGTGGTTAAATGGACCAAAAAAAGTATAGGTTAGGGCATGGTTTATTAATGGGGAATGGTTGCTGTTGTTGTGTTGTGGTACACTGAGTATTAATTAATTGGTCCTCTTTAAATGTGCCCATTTTCTAGTTCAACAAACACGATATGGCGACTTAACTTTGGAAAGGTTTTGCCCAGTGCTCGATTTGCTGGGGAATGCAGTGGAATGGAGTTTCGGTACCTGTCTTTTGGGAAGATCAAAATATTGACATAAGTTAAATAGGTACAAATCACATTAAATAGGTTACAGTTCCGCACCTCATATTTTACAAATCGAGCACTGGTTTTGCCTACCTTTAATGATTATGATTTTTGCCTTTTTCCAAATTCCAAATTTATAATATTTGAACATTTGTACAATAGGACAAAACCGCCTTGCAATCATGCAGAAGAATCCTTGTGCCTAATCCGCGTCAATAAAGACTATAAAGAATTACTGCCTCATGGGCCTAGGAGACATTTTAATTTTAACAATGTAATAAGTGAATATGGACTCTAACAATAAAGATCTTTGTAGAAGTTATATTTATTTCACATAAGGCCTATCTAAGCATATCTAAGGCTTTGGATTATTTATTCATGGAAAAAATAGCCACTTTTATTTTATATTAGACTATCTGTACCCGCGGGCTTTGCCCCGTTTAACTTCACAAGTATTCGCATGGCCCAATCACGTCCTGGTTAAAGTTCGTTCGCTACGCTCACTCACCTTTTGGTTGCAAATTAGCTGTGTTGTCATAGATAAAAAAAAAAATAGTGCTGCACCCTGTTGGTAATCCTTGTAACTTTAATGCTATTGAACATCATAGAACAGAACCAACTTGTTTAATTGAAACAGCTGTTAAGATTCATTAATTCCTTTTAAATATGAAAAATCATAAGGTTAACATGGGAAACTCGAGAGCCACTGGGGCGGAGCCCGAAAGCCCGATCAGAATAAAAACTACTTAGTTTTCCTATTTAATGCCCAAAGAATCGGTGTACCGAATTTCAGCCTCCTAGGTAAATGGGAAGTGGGAGAATTAGTGATGAGTGAGTGAGTGTGTCAGTGAGGGCTTTGCCTTTTATATATTTAGATAGTTTTGTTATAACTTAGGCCTAGTAGTAAAAAAAAACTTAATATAAATAATGAAAATTATGTATGTCCAGAAAATCTCCTGCAAAGAAGAAAGTAAATACGATGTCAGCAGAGAAAAGCCCTGAAAAAACCAAAAGTGAAGAAAAGATCAAATGTGAAAATGAAAAACTTGAATCGCCAGAGGAAAGAACACGACAACATTCACCTTTGTTCGATTTTTCAAAAGAAGATAGAAAACCTATAAAAAAACAGGTAATTAAATCCAATTAGTATTCAATTTGCATGATCTGAAAAGAAATTATGACTGCTCTATCTTGACTTTACTTGGGAATTTAACCTCTTCACTTTCATGAAAGATGAAACTGAATTGTGGCTCAAAATGATTAAGGAAAATCCACATTTGTTAAATTAAGTTCTTTATCTAGATTTATCTTACACCTTTTAAAGTCCTCTTTTACAATATCTTGCCACTTCTATTGTGTTATTCCAAGTATCCTATTCCCACCAATTCCTATCTAGAGCTAGATTTTAGTAAGACTTCATCGTGCCTTATACCAAACCAAACCACCCTAATCTTGATATGGGAATTGTAGTCTGACTCTGTTCTGTCATATCCAAACTGTTCTCTAATATAGGCTACCTTTGTTTCTAATAGTTTCATTCATGATTTTTGCACCGAGGGATTCATTTCTGATGTTTGGGCTTGTCTTTTTGGGTAGGCCTACACATTTTCATTATGATGAACGGGAGAAAAGTAAGTGCACACTAAGTAGTTGGTTTGGCCGGGTTTCGATGCTATTTTCTGTGTCGAGATATTCCTGATGCAGAAGTAGCCTAGGTACTATCCCTGAGCTCTCTGATTGCAATGTTGGTGTAAGGGGTTCCTCCGACAGCCCTTCACCAGACTTGCTGGCACCGGTAGGGGGGAAACAGTCACTCCCTTCTCCAGCGAAGGTGCCAACGATATATTTTACGCTGTTAAAAAGGGTGACCTAGAAACATTCCCTCCCCTCTGAAACACTTCCACATCTAACTGCTTGCCAAGCAAGCCCATGCTTCATGCGGTTGAAAAATCCATAAAAATATTTGGCAGCGCATCGGGTGGCAAAGGGCGGCCCGGAATAACCAGGATCAGGAATACCCTCGGGGATGTAGCCCCTACCCTAGTTCCCACGGGGACCGGCCTCCGTTTGCCTGGTACCGAAAATCCTGACCTGTGGCAGTGCGGAGCTTGACCTCTCACCCAAGCCACCTCCCTGACTAGAACCCGAAGGGGCTGGTCCCTGACGACACACCAAAGAGGTCTCATAGGCAGTGCGAAGCACAAAACAGCCTTTTTGCACAGAAAGGGCTCTCCCAATGCTCAACATATTGAAAGAGACCATTAACTCGTACGAGTCATACCAACCTTTCTTTAAAACTATACAAAATCTCTTCTTATAATAATTTTATCTATAGTCTACATTTGGTATATACAGGGAAGTATCCCTAATTTTAAGATTTCACTTTGAGTAGTGAGGATGTGCTGGAGGATTGTGGGTAGGCTTGAATGATGCTATAAGAGTTCATTGTGACAAACTTCATTAAACTTAGATACTGTTCTACTAAATGTTGTTCTCAATGCCTTCCTTCTTTGCAACCACTCAAATTTTTTTTTTTCATTTTTTTGGTTAAATTTGCATCCATAGTTCAAATAAAATCTATACTTTTCCAACAAATAAATTACTTCCACCAATGCCAAAACGTCGGGCGCCATAATGCTAAGAATAAACTGACAAAAATGATGAGTACTCAGTGAAAGTTAGTAGGCAATAACAATATTTTATTTGAACTATTTTAACATAGGCTGCACTTTACTTGACGTCCTACACTCATTCGATTGTTTTTTCGATTCGATATTTTCATTCGATTGTTTCATTCGATATATCGTTTGGTTAGTTAGGTTAGGTTAACCTTACCTAACTAACCAAACGATATATCGAATGAAGCAATCGATTAATCGATATATCGATCGATATTTTCATTCGAATGAGTGTAGGACGTCAAGTAAAGTGCAGCCTTAACATATTCTTTGGTCAAAAGACTACACACAACTCAACTAACTTTTGTTTACATTCTCTTATTAAAATTAATAACATGTGTTTTAATTATTAGTAAGCAATCTAATACAAATATTAACATTTGATAACAGCTGGCAATTTAAAACCAGTAAGTTGAACCAACTCAGCATATACAGTATAACACCGGGAAATTTTACATCACCTATTTGAAAACCTTTAGCTTAATGATAAATGATTATAAGCTACATGATTAATGGGTATGTTACTCATTACACAAGTGTGGAAGTGATCTAGTGCATCCACTAAACTTCACTGTGACCACGTTTAGTAAACGCTCCTTGCTGTTGGCCGTTGTGTTCTGTCACATTGAATTGTTGCCAGAACTGTATAATGTGAGTTATCTAATTGTAAATAGTCCTAGAAACATTCTAGTCGTTAAAGCTGCACTATTTTGTTTAGAATTATATAACATAATTTTTTTTATCAAAACCGCTTTTTATAAAATTTAATTTTCCTTTATTTTATGGGTTTTTTATGGGAAATAATATAAGATACAATAACTTCGGAACCGTAATTTCTATAGCAATGGGAGTTGTACCATTTTGTTCAGAATTTAAATGACTATAACATACATAATTTTAAGGAAACCTGCAGACTAAGCGAATTTCCATTTACCTGGCTGGATCTTCAGTAAAATATTCCCTTAATGTCAGATTTATTTTTTATTTTTAATAAAAAAGATTTAGTAATAAATAGATAAGACAGATTAATTTTTTTGTCAGATTTACTATTTAAATTACATTTTGAGATGAGTACTTAGGATTGCTGCTACAGCTATGGTTTAAAGTATGTGTTTCTTTAACGTAAATAGCTTGTTATAAAAAAAATCCATATTTAATAAAAATATTTTTGTGACAGACTGGTTTCAAGACTTTATATATCCTGCACAAGAATAACAAATTTCTTTAGTGACCATTAGGCAAAAAACAACACATTAATATTCTAAATTATTGTTTTATTGTCTACAAAATAGTTTAAAAAGAAACTGCAATATTTTATGGGTTGGTCTCCCATTACGGTAAAGAACTTTTATTTGAAGCAGCTCTTATAAAAATAAAATTCAAGAACTCAAATCTGTTTGTACTGGGAACCTACAGACCCCCAAACGGAGACCTTGAGGAATCATTAAACACCTTTACAGAACTAATTGAGGAAACAAAAATGGAAAATTCCCCTCTTATCATCATGGGAGATATTAACGTTGATTTGTGTAACCCAAACAGGAAACACATTATCTTAAATGAAACTCTTGCTATGCACAACATCCAGAGACTACAGCTTCCACCTACGAGAATAACAAATCTAACACAAACCTCCATTGACTGGATATGTACAAATATGGACACAAACCAACTCACTCCAGAAATCATCAATGCAGGACTTTCGGATCATACTGCTCAACTCTGTACTGTAAACTTCAACTCACACATCAACTCAAGTTATCCAGCCCAAATTGGACGCTGCCTAAAAAATAAAAACCTGCAAGACCTCAAGTATCTTCTCAGTCAAGAAAACTGGCTTAGTGTTACCTCAATAAACAATGCCGAAGAAGCTTTTAAAACTTTTAGTAACATAGTGAGAGTAGCTATGGATGCAGCCTGCCCCCAAAAGAAGATAAAAACACAAAGAAAACATAAACTAAAATTCTCTATGGACCCAGAAGCAGTGAGACTTAAAGCCGAATTTCTTAAAGCTCTAAGAAATTTTGAGGTGACGGGAAATCCAGATGACAGAAGGGTTTCTATTGAAAATAAAAAGAACTATGACCTGTACTTGAAAACGATGCGGAAAAAGGTTAACTCTGACCAGTTGATGAAAGCTGAAAATAAATCTAAAGCTATCTGGGAAACAATAAACACAGTGTGGTCCAAAAAGGAAACATCCCTAAATGAAATAACCCTTTAAGTAGATGGCCAACTCATAAGTAATGTGACCCATGTTGCAGACCATTTGAATACATTTTTTACACAAGTAGGAGAAAAAACAGTAGAGAAACAAAAACACCTAAAGACCACAGCTCAAACTCCTGACGTAACTCAAACATGTCCACCGTTTTCCTCCTTTCAAAGCACAGACGAGAAGGAAGTTAAAATGATTATAAACATACTTAAAGCAAAAAACTCGTCTGGAATTGATGAAATCTCGTCAAAAATACTTAAGCATTGCTGCAATGAACTAGCACTACCATTGGCTGATTTGATAAATAAGTCCCTAAAACAAGGCATCTTTCCTTCACTACTTAAAATAACTAAAGTATACCCGAAATTTAAAAAAGGTAGCACATTAGAAGCAAGCAACTACAGACCAATTTCCCTCGTTTCCACCTTCTCCAAAATATACGAAAAAGTTGTTTTAACACGTCGACTTTACAGGCGCTCCCCAGTGGCGGGCGAAGCCCCGGCGCGCAACCGAATCAGCGAACGCAATTGGCATTCAAATATTTCAGTCTGACGAATCACAAAAGAGCAGTGGTGACTGTGCTGCGTTACCCCGAGAGTGGATGTAGTTCACTGAAACACCCAAAGGTAGCAGCACTGCATGGATCCGTATCCAGTGTCTTTGTAATGTGGGTTGAAAAGAAAAAATCCCCGAAACCGGGACAAAAGCATTGCCAGACAGGATTTTACGGGAAATTTTAGTACCAACCTACACCAAAGTAAAGCTCGCATTCTAAGCTGGCAGGCTGGCAACGATTATAACGTCTCCGTCTGAGGCTAAGCTCACACTGACTCAATATATTTCTGTTGGTCTGGTGCCTTTAGTCGGCGCGCGCCACCTGGGAGCGCTGGCGACGCCGACTAAAGTCGGCACGCGCAGTCGACGTGTTAAAAAGACTTTTAGACCACTGCAAAAATCACAACCTACTAAACAACCTGCAACATGGATTTACAAAAGGGAAATCCGCAACAACAGCAATAATTCAGATGGTTGAGTCCCTGATTGACAGCCTAGATGAAGGAAATCTAACAACAGGAATCTTTCTTGATTTCAGTAAGGCATTTGACTGCCTTGACCACCAGCTAATCATTAAAAAGCTGGATTCCCTGGGGGTATCAGGGATAGTAAGAGAATGGTTTCAAAGCTACCTTACAGACAGGAGTCAGTTTGTAGAACTAAGGCACAGAGATAACAGCCTAATAAGAAAAATAAGATCAAATTTTCAACCAATAAATCGAGGAGTTCCCCAAGGGGTAATTTGTTGTAAATTTTTGGCCCCATATACTGAGGGGATAAATGAAAGGGGTTGAGGGTAGTGATTTTATATATTATGTAGTAGTAGTGATTTTTCCATAAAATAACAGTAAAATAGAATTTTCTCAAAAATGGCCTAAAGGATTTGGAAAAATTTAGTATGTTATAGACCTTTTAAATAAAATTGTAAAACTCCCATTGCTGTAGCAATTATGGTTCAAAAGTTATTGTAACTTATTTCACCTATAAAAACCCATAAAATATTGGAAAATCTAATTTTATAAAAAGGTGGTTTTTATTAAAATAGAACATTATATAAATCTAAACAAAATAGTGCAACCCCCAATTTCTATACAAAAATAACGGTCAAAAGCAATTTAAGCCTTTGTAAGGCAGTAATAGGTTTTTTTTACATTCCTCCGTCAAATAGTCCAATAAATGATATTGCTCAACAGCTTACATGTTTCGTTGCGAAGACAACATTTTCAAAGCTTGCAACTCGTCAAAAACAAATGTTGAAAATGTTGTCTTCGCAACGAAACATTTAAGCTGTTGAGCAATATCATTTATTGGACTATTTGACGGAGGTATGTAAAAAACCTTTTATTGTCTTAAAAATATAGCCCAGGGGCCGAAAACATCAGTTTTAAACCTTTGTGATTTTCCCTATAATTATCTCAGTTACTCCCACCACTTAGCATGATAAAAGTTGTCGACTAGCTAATACCTCAAGAACCTCAAGAAAATAACAATTTTACTATCAATGATCTAGTTTTCGCTAAAGTTGGAGGCTATCCTTTTTGGCCTGCGGAAATAACTAATATAAATCAGGATTAGTACGAAAACTCAGCTAAATATGAAGTGGTTTTTACACAACTAATGAAACAGCTTTGATTAGCAAAACTGACATTAGTCATTATTATGATAATAGAACAAATTATTTATTAGATTTCATCGCAAATAAGCACAAAGAAAGCTACAAAAAATGTCTTAATGAAATAGAGAAAGCATGGGAAAACTTACAAAAAGGAATTCCCCCAGACCACAGTTCATAAATCTCCAATTATTAGCAATAAAAGTTATATTAAGAACAAAAAGGTTATAATTTAAGTGCATCACCAATACCTGAAAAAAAGTCTGGAAGTAAATTGGTAACAAGTTCGGTACAAACAGAGAGCTCACATCAGTTAAATGACATTGGAGATAATACAGATAGCAAACAAAACCCCCTTGGTAAACCCTCTTCCATGAGTCTGTCACTTCTAAAAACATGAATGGAACTCCATGGAATGGAATGGAGATACATAGTTTATTGAGTTACAGAATATTGGTGTTTGGGCTATCCTTAAAACATATCCTTCCTGAACTCTAGTGGAAAATTAACAAACTATTTTGTGTGGTTCAGTGTGTTGATTAATGCTGCCATCAAGTGGAAGACTTTAAAACTGCCTTATCTGGGGAGGTATATCCACTTTCTCCTTCTCTTTCCAACCATGACTTGAAGCAAGCAACATGTCCAGAGTTCTTTCCTATTGTATAATTTAAATGTAAAGTAAATTAAAAGTAGTGTTTTCTTTTTTATTAAGTAATTGTCCTTAAATTCAACGTGTGAAAGTGGGTAAGATCTCTCCAGTTTTTTCCCTCAAGTGGACAGTGAACAATAATTATTCCTTTTTTAAAGTCAGACAAATCTAAAGACTATGTGGCCACTTCCCATCTCTTTCCTTTCCCAAAGCCTCAAACATAAAATTAATAGGTAAAATCATTATACTAATCTGGCCAGATATTATGTACCCTAATTAAAAATAGTTTGAAACAAGAATAATTATGTAAATGTACCAAAATGTTAAAATGTAGAGTAAAATAAATGTATTGACCACATATCGGTTTTTTATGTCAAACCCTCAAGTCACTGACTTCCAAATACAGTCCAATTATGTCATGTCAAGTTTATTTTTCGGGCATTGGTCCAAACAATTGGTGTGAGGTTTCCAATCATATACCAAAAAGTTATTTAAATTTCAAAAAAAGGGCGATAAGGCTTGTAAGTGGTGTACACTCTAGAACTCACTGTTAACCTATATTTAGACATTTCAAAATTTTAACCTTACCTGCAATGTATATTCTTCATGTTCTCTTGTATGTAAAAAATCATTTAGACATTTTCTCAGGAAATTCAAATGAACATAATTATGAAACCAGATTTAAAAACAACTTACAAACAGTGCTTTGTAAATACTCAAAGAGTCAAACAAACATTCAATACATGGCAGCTAAATTGTTTAATAATATATCAGTGGGGTATCGAGAGTTGTCCTTGAACACTTTCAAATCAAAAATGGAACATTTTTAATACAAAAATGCCCATATACAGTGGAGGATTTTTTTACCTGTCAAAATATTTCTATTTAATTGTGCCTGCATTTTATATATACCGGGTGATTAAAAATGAATGACCAGGTTTTAACGCTTCATAACTTTTATATTTTATAAATAAATAAATAAATAAATAAAAAGGCCTTTATTTACAAGCGAGTTTCATCAAAGTTTATTTTAGAGGAATAAACACTATGTGGAATAAACACGCACTACACTATGTGTGTATATTATACTATTAAACTTACCGCTATAAAATACACATCAAGCAAAAAAGCAACTCAAAGAGTTTATGCCTTCTAAAGACACATTATTTAACAAAATCGATCCAGCAGAACTGTAGATTTAATTGTACAAAGTTAAAAAGTAGGCCTAATCTCCAACTTTTTTTCCCACTAGAAATTTGGAGGTTACTTGACGTTTTTGCAAATAACTTTTAAATGGTGAGGAAATCGACCAAAGTGGAAGGTAATATTCCAAAAGAGCATAAAATTTCCTACAATCCACTATTATGCATTTCTTGAATATACTCAATAAATGTAGCCTAAATTTGCCTTAAAATAAAAAAGTGTGAAATTTAATGTTTGCTATGTCTATTGTCTACATTGAAGACGGGGATTTTCAATTTTTTTTTTCATTTTGAGGCAATATTTGGTACCTTTCTTGAGTATTTTTAAAAAAATGCATCAGTTTGGTTCAGTTTCAAACAATCAACAATGTTTTCTTATCAATCCTCAACAAACCAGCAACTTATGAGAGCGGGGACTAAGTCCGGACACAAAACAATCTTCCCCAAATCACAAATACACTTTCCATTTCATCCAACATTTTATCAACATATTTTAATTCCAGGTACAGTGTAAAGGGGTGCTACCTAGCAGTTTTGGTTGTGGCTATTTTAATCACCTCTGCCTCTACCAGACGTCTTAACTGGCGGAAAGTCGTCTGTCGTCTCTTTCCTTGCTTCTCCTGTGGGGAGGTCCCAGACCCCCAAATACCACTGCCATTCTCCTCCCCGAGTGTAGAGCACAGCTTCCGCAAGGCAGCCGTCTGCTCTGATGGTTCCCCGTGCTCATGCATCGCCAGGTAGCGTAACTGCATCATATATATGATTTTGTAGATATAATAAGTGGTAACAGGATATCAAAGAACACTTTGAAATCTAATATTGGTCACTTCCCTGTACTGTATTAAGGTTCTTAAGAGTTCTTATATTTATATTTTTACTAGTGTTCATGTTGCTCGAATTCGAGCAATTGTAAAGTATTACAGGATTTGCAAACCAGTAACAATCATACTAAGCTATCAACATTTCAACAAACACACACCTACCTTCCCTGTAGCAGCAAACCTAGGTACTCATATTAAAATTAACTTATTTAAATAGGAAAAAATGACAATTTTCAGGGAATATCTTTGTAGAAATTAAGCCAGGTAAATGGAAATTCGCTTAGTCTGAAGGTTTGCTGCGGATACACAATTTTAATGACAGCAATGATTGTAGAATCTAAATTATTACTTATATCTATGAATTTATATAACAATTATTTCCTGTAAAATATTATTACAGCAGCTCAAAAATATTGGACAGACTCGGTCAACAAATGACGTAACAGAAAGAATCCCATACTAATGACATTAACATATAGTTTGATAGTTCCATTTAATCAATGTTAAATGTTTACATTCGGGCGAGTGACATATTTTATTTATGTTTATGATCCATACCGTTCCTGTTCTAATAATCATGCAGTATTTAATATATTTGGACCAGCTGTGTGGAATTGTGAAATCAAATATAATTTGACAGTTAGTTCTGCTTGTTTACATTTTTAAATTTTGTGGGTTTGTTCTTTGTTACTATGGATACCATCAATAAATATTTCACTTTTAATTTCTGACAACAGCTGGAGTTCCATAACAAATTTTGTTTCCCTTGTTAATCTTATGGATAAATACGAAACTTTAAAGGGCCCCAGGGCCTCACTCTCTAATTATTTCCCTAAAAAAGAAAGTTTCCTGCACAACTTCACGTTACGCTCTTTCCAATGACACCAAAAACATGTCAATCGGTTCAGTAGTTTCGGAGGAGTAATTGTCACAAAAAACCTGCTTGCTTATTAAATAAGTACTAGTGTCCCTGTTGCTCGAATTCGAGCAATTGCTAAGTATTACAGGCATTATTTTAAAACGAATTTCAACCAAGTCAGCAAATGTTTGTAGCAAACTGTTAATTTTGCAAACTTATTGACTGTTTGCAATTAACATATGCTCTTCTTCTTACTTTTGATTTCTGACAACAGCTGGAGTTTCATAACAATTTTTGTTTCCAATGTTAATCTTATGAAGAAATACAAAACTTTAAGGAGCTCCAGGGCCCCACTCTCTCATTATTTCCTTAAAAAAAAAGTGTCCTGCAAAATTTCACGTAACGCTCTTTCCAATGACACCAAAAACATGACAATCTGTTCAGTAGTTTCGGAGGAGTAATTGTCACAAAAAATCTGCTTGCGTATTAAATAAGTAAATAGATAGATATAGATATTGGTTGGTTTCTCTAATTAATATTGACTTTACCTATGACCGTTTTGTAAAATAGCCGTTTCAGCTCAATTCTTAGAATTGAAAAGACTCATTTAAGTTAACAGCATTGTTTACTTACTTAACAAAATTGTTTTTTACTTACTACACGGGTAACAGACCAATGAGGTTCAAGGGTTGAGAGAAAAGAAGTAAAATTGTAATGATTCGAAATTCAAGTAATCAGCTGTTCAGGGCCAATTTAATTGTTGAGTGGTGCAATTAGCGTTTGGTACAATGTTTTGTTGTATCACTCTCAGTGGCAATGAGAGGTTATAAACGAAAACATAACCCCTCTTAGAAGTTATAAGTAGTATTCTTTCGTAATTAAAACACTGTCGTAGGTAAAGTAGTGTCGTAGGTAATTACGAAAATAGTCTTAACAACACTCGTAGAAGTTTTTAAGGCACTCGCCAAGACTCACACCTTAAATTTTCTACTTGTATCATTAACACTCTTTTTATGCAATCGATGCATAATGTATTAGTAGTAGTAGTATAACATTTTTTTGTGTGAAAGTTTTTGAAAAAACGAGTCGTAGTCTATTAATTAAGAAATAGCATATTTCATCACTACTTTGGCATACTTCAACTTGAGCTCAAGTTTCATGACCACAGTAAAGCTGATGTAAAAAAATTGTGTGAAAAAACAGTAGTCCTAAAACGGTTAGTCAAGTCTTGGACATTTAGGGATGAGGATCGGACAATATACTTACATAGGAAAAAAAATTGTAGGGACATTGTAACGGTGCGCTTTATTTCTTTGAATTAATTATTGACTAGTGTTAGGCCTTCACACAGTCAATCACACGAGTTACATAACTTATTTAATTAAATTTCACTTTAGGCTAGTAGAGCCTTTCTCTTATCTCAGGTTAATCGTCTGGTTCGGTAGGTCTTATTTAATTTTAACAAATAAAGAAGAATTCTCAGAACATAAAAAATTGTTTTATTAATTTAGCCTAAACCAGACATTTTAAAATTTACATTTTTTAAAATAAGATTATACAAAAGAAAATCTGTCTTTATAAATTTGTTGGTTGAAAGTGAAGTTAATTTACATAAAAAAAAAATAAATTTACTTTAGGCTATAGAATATTTAAGTAGCCATAACCACTAAGTTTAAGTATAAACACTTAGCTTAGGGTTAGAGGTGAGATGAGATGTGCACCGCCTGTAGTGTAGATGGTCACCCTGCGAGTCTACATTGTTAATGACCGTGGCGTCCCCATGTCCGATGCCGGTGTGGGTGTCATGGTGTCGCCCCCCTAGCCGAACTTATTTTCAAGCGGCGTTTAAATTGTTTTAGAAAAATGCAACTATCTTCAATAAAAAAAATAAAAGTTCTAACTCGATGTAGGCCCTAACTCGGATTAAATTTTATGTGTTAACATCGACATGGTGACTGGTAGATTACATCAAGTTGGTAACGGAACTGACGTAGATGCGAACGGTGTGAAGATCAGTGAAGAAGTGTAGAAGCCTTGCTTCTTTACCGAGCTTGCGCGTCGGTTGCTCAACCCTGGAACTGCCAACACCATGAAAACGGAAAATTTCCATTTTAGAGGCCGAAAGTGTTTCAGTAGTTCTCAACCCACTCCAACTGGATGCGCAGAACACCGATTTGTGTCTAATCCCGCCCTTCTTCTTCGTCAACGACAAACAGGGCTCTCATCTAGCCATCTTGGAACATTTACTATTAATCCTTTTATTAAAACCATTTGACTCTAATTTAACCACCATGTTACCTAACTGAGCGTCCATTATTGAATTGAATATTGATAATTGGTTTGATTACCGTACCGTTCTGATAATTAATCATTTGTTTATGTTCGATTATTACTATTTATTATTATTTATTTAATTATTTATTGGATTCGTTACAACATTTAGAGGTTATGTTTGGGTGGACAGGGATGGGAAGCTTGTTGTATTGTAACGGAGGCTAAATAGAAAAACAAATAAAGTTAAAATAAAGGTATTTACATAGTCTTAGTGGCAGCTGTAAACGCCAACCTGCCCCCTCGGGTTTTTGTTGGTAGTGGGTAGACGCCTTTGATTGAAACACCGAGGTGCCGGTTTGTCATGGTGCTGCCTTGACAGCCCCATATGAATCAGTAGCTCCAAAGGTTGGTAGATCCAAGTAGGAATTATTGTGTCCCTCAGATTGAATAGTATAGTATAGAATAGAATATAGAAATATAGAATATCAAATATCATCAAATACACTCAGTGTTCTTACTATTTGTTTACATCTGTAAGATTAACTTAACTCTAACTTTCTAACTTTCTCGTTCTTTCTCTAACTTCTTAACTATTTTAAACTTTTTAATAAATTAATCCCTCTGAATTTCTATATTCATACATACACATATATATTTTATTACTATTTAGAATTACTTTTTCAATAGGCCTAAAAAAGTGAAACAGCCGGACAACATAAGTTACGCCAAGAGACACGGACAACACAAGTTATATAATTTCCCAGTCGAGTTTGGTTGGATACAATTTTTTTTAAACTGCATAATACTACTTGATTAGTGACTTAATGTGAACTGGTAGATCACTAAGAGTACCCCTTAGTGTACCCCTTATCAAAGTTTACTTGACTTTGTGGGAAGTTGTAATCTTCTAACATTTAACACCCAAGCTATGAGTTTTTCAAGGCAACACAAGTCACATCAGATTGAAAATTAGGGATGAGCATTGATAGTCGATGTTTTTGAAACATCAAAGTTTTTCTATTGATGTTCGATGTTTTTTACATCGATGTTTTCCTGAAACATAGATGTTTTTGGCCAAGTACAGTATTGAAATATTGATTTTTTCCTTGACTTAATTGGATTAGTTTTAAGTTATTTAGCTGTTGCAGTTCAGGGAACAAACAAAAAACAGAAAAAAAAACATTGATTAACATCTATGTTTTAGCATGTTTACATGACGATGTTACCATCGATGGTGAACATCAATGGTTGACCTATCGATGCTCATCCCTACTTGAAACTTGATGATTCAAAATTACATAGCTTAATTGGCATTACAGAATATTTGGCATTGTTTAAAAATTTGAGAAACTAAACCGGATCGATTATATTTAGCCATAAGAGTTACCTTTTGACTGCCTCATGTACTATTAAGGAATTAAATTTACTGTAAACTTGTATTTTGAAGAACTATTTTCCAGCTTAACTTTTGTGTTTGGTTCCTTAAAACATTTGTTTGATTTCCTTTTTTAATATATCCAACATACACCAACCTATAACATTTGCCTGTCATTTAACGACTGTTAATTTGAACAAAAATTAAATTTAAGTGATCAGCCCTACTAAGTTACTGTGGAAAGTTGCGACGATGATTTTCTGCACTGGGAAAATATTATTAAAAGTGCAGTCGCAACCGTTTGCCGGGGATAGCTCAGCCTACAATGGCTGGGTAAAATTCCAGGGTCTGCGACAAGGTCGGGGAAACCACTAGGCCAAAAGCCGGGTCTAACCGGTATAGGACTGG